TTAGTATGCTGTTCTCTCTATTTTTTTAAAGTTAAATAAATTTGCTTAAAAGGCTTAACAAATTAAGTCCTACACCCAATGCTGTTGATGGATGCACGAAATTGAAACTCGGCTGACCACATAGGTGGCCGTTACTCACGGAGTATATTGCGCATCTCAATTCGAGACAAGCTGAAACCGAGGCTTCCAACACGAAAGCTTCGATATGCGAGAGCTAATCAGCAAGTTTTATTTGCCAAATGCAATTTGAACGTTAGTGACACACTGATAAAAGGTTACGAAGTCTGTAAAATTGATGTCAGGATGGAAGCAGCGTTCTAGTACTTCGTAGGCGATGGCCGTGGAGGATGAGGGAAACTAAACTTTACAATTTCTTCACGAGACCTGGATTGAGAATCTGAACGTTCATATTCGTAGGCTCAGACATAAAAACACACAGTTAGCTGAAGTTTACTCCACAAACATTTGTGACACCACTAGAGTTAACGAAGTAATCAAGGTGGTAGGAGAGATGAACGCATTTTGGCGACCATAGACGGCAAATTAGAGCATAACAGAGGCTCCTTCGAGCATCTATGCACACACGAAATTTGCCTGTGCCAATAGGAGAATAACACTGCGTCTCCTGTAGCGCCCTAACCCAGTCGACGCAAAAGTTAGTTTTGAAAGCCATCTGAGAAACGCAACAATTGAAGCGGATCGTGCGAGAGGCAAAGTCAATTGGTAGTTACAGCCGTGTGTTGATACTTTTTTTGCGAAAAAAATTTTAAATTGCACGTGATTTTTCTCTAAATGAATTAATTGGATGCTCAAAATTACGCAGTTTTAGTTTAGTCAACAAAACGCAGAATAGAACATAATACTTCTGTGTTACTCCCAATGACATAGATTTTTCATTATTTTTATTAAAGGAATGCTGAAATTGCAAAAGGATACACAGAACTGTCCGTGTCCGGTCCCGACTGAAAAGGCCTGATAATAAACTGACAAGGTTATTTTTTTGGAAAAAAATGGCCAATTTTTAACCAGCGCCCATTTTAAATTGATGCCAGTTTGGGAAAAGAATCCGATTGCGAATACATTAAGTCAGGAAAATTGACTGTGGATGTGGGTTTGCGTAGTGTTTCACACCTGCTTAATATCACTACACAAATGTAATGCGGTTCTGTGGTCAAAAGGAATGGATTTCGTTTAGTGACAAATTTAGATCGGGTAAATTATTAAATGGCAAAGTCACACGTTAAATCTACAAATGATTTTGGCTGTGTTATACTATTAAAATTGTGAGAAAAACATTTAGCATGGATTGTTTTGGCATAAGCAATTCGGCATTAGAAAGCGCAACGGCAGTTGACAGCTGTGATTCAGTTGTGGTGACAAGCAGGCGTTCAGCGAAATCGCTTCGACGCTCAGTAATATCCACTTCCGCGATTATGTGAAACACTGACGGTGCCACCTTGACACTAAGGACGAAACTTTGGGTGATTTTTCCTTAGAATGACTGATTGAAGTAAAAAAAGGTTCTGTCGGCATCGGGCAAAAAATTCAGGAGTTATTGAAAACGTGGTAAGATTAAAAGGTCTAAGCTCGACAAAAGGTGGGTTGGGGTTCCGGCAGCTCCAACCGAATCGGTAGCCAATCTACTCTGCTGGCTAACCCTACACGACTGCTCAGTGATCGAGTACGGAAGCACAAGACGTAGGGCATTTACCCAGTTCGACCGAATTAGCTAGTTCAGATTACGGTAAACGTATCACAAGCATTAATGTCTCCCCTGCTTTCATGCAATGGTGCGCCGAGCTGTTTTATGTCCCAAAACACGTCGGAATTCACCGTGGTAAGGAATGGGCACTTTGGATAATATCATTTAAAGCAATCAGTCAACATGGTCGAAAGTGTTTTTAAATAAATCCGCTAACAACTGAACTAAAGTGTACAAATCACGAGTAAATTATAGCACCGATAACAACTGGCTTGGAGTCGGCCGGGTTACGTGAACGACCACCCCTAAAGACCGATTTAACTACAAACCGCGAAAAACGCCCGAATCTCTGTATTAGGGTGTGTTCGTTTGCCAACACCCTCAGCAACAATTTTCTCAAAATTTGGTTTCTAGTGGAAGGCAGAACAAAAGGGTAAAGCGAGTGGATTTCATGGCAGAATGATTTAGGCCCTCATGAATTTTTGTAAAAATAATGTACACACGGACATTTTGAAAAGAAGAACGCAAGGAAACAGTGAGGCTGCATAAAAAATGGTCCAGATGAAGGGTGTCAAACTTTAAGAGTTGCAATTGCTTAAAAATATTTTTCCGGAAAATCTCGCACTTAAACATGACCAGGCAGAGAGTTTGCATAACGTATATTAAACTCGCTCAAGCATAATATTTGCCCGACATTTTAAATGTCGTTCACTCGTTACGATGTGCAGAATTTGAATTTATCATTTTTGGAGGTCGTTGTACGATTTCAGGTTCTTCTAAGGAAACAAGCAAGCAAATTTAGATGCATTTGTTGAAAACTAAAAAGGTAACCATCGATGAATAATGTATGAATTCGGAGGGAACTGCAATGCGTCACACATATGGACAGTTGGTTGAAAATTAGTTGAGCGTGTTTTGGAAGTGGAATCGCAACCACATATGACGAGTTTTTATTGGTTAGGTTAGCCATCGATGCTCCATGGCCCCTCTAACTCGAGTGAGCACTTAAATAACCAATCACTTGAGAGAAGAAAAGAGAGGACAAGGCTTACTTTGATACCCACCACTGAATCCTTTATTCAAATAAGTAACATTAAGGCGAGGGGTTAAAGATACCTGATTATTTAGTTAAGGTAGCAAACCCAGACTAGTGTGTTCAGTTTTGACAAACTTTCTTTTTACAAAGCTGAAATTGCATTCTTTTCAACAATTTAGTGATTATCAATTGTTTTTTTCCCTTCAATCATGCAATTGTGTGACGAACAAACACAGTTTCATCTTCGTAACACATTCTGACAGCCTTTGAATCGAAAATAAGAAATTCAAACAGTAGCCACCGTGCCCGCCAACGCGCTCACGAACAAAGTCCCAACACAGTGAATTTGAGACTAGACTGAAGCACTTTTTTCATCAATCAGTTGCTAGCAACGAATGATAACGAACACAAATGTTGCGAAAATACACGCGAGTTCAAGACCATCTGGAAAATCCGCCAAACACTCGACACGGCGAACGCAGAGGCAGGTGCTCCCTGAGGCACTTAAATTGCCTAAAGGGAACAAGCCAACCCAGCAGATTGCAACTGACTCCATGCCATTTGCTCTGTACGTCTGATTTTTGATCTTCTAAAAATGAGGCGCTTAAATACAATGTGGAATTAGCTAATCAAATCTAATAGATTCAAGCCTTTGGCGCAGTTCAGACCGGAATTCTTAAGGGAAGAGTTTTCTTTAAAAAATGCAGAAAACAAAATCAGCAAGACGATTATTTTGGATGTGGCCGATCCAATCGAAACGACAGTACGAACGAAGACCAGTTTTTTTTAGTTATTTAAAATGCATTTGATAAGTGTTCGTGTAAGAATGGTAAAGGGAATTAGATTCAAAAGTGCAATTCGGAGGAAATACGCAACACGTCCGTAAGTGGGGTAGAATCTGATTCCGAAATAATGCAACAAACGTTTCCGTGAAAATGGAATTTCCGATGACTCATGCAGAGGTAAAAAGGCACCAGATATCTCGGGCATTCATCTGGCCAATAACAACGGCGACGCCCACTTCCAAACTGAAGAAATCGAGTTTTTGGGAAACAGCGAAAAACGCCTTCCAAGAAGATAATTAGAGGAGTTGGCGTTTGGCCCTCTGGGAGGCGACTGCTTCATTGAAGGGGTTTGTTTATGGACAAATTTATTCCTGGCCGAGTGCAGCCTACGTTTGTCACGAAACAGGCTCAAACGCGCACGAAATGTAATGTTTTTTTTGTAGTTTGAACAGTCATTAGTTGTGGCGAGTCAATTATATTGTTTGCGTCATGCCAAATACCCAGTGTCCTAATTATTGTATCAAATTTCAAGTTGGCTGGCCTCACAAAGCACATTATGTGAATAGGAAACAAACTGAAATGCTTTCTACATCAAGTGTAATTTAACTTCAAATTCCACCAAAATATTCTGACGCAAGAGTGAAAAAAAGCATTTTCAGGATGTTCGGGTCTTGACTAATGAGGTTTTTTTGACTGTTTCTATTAGACTGATTTTGATTTTGGCTAAATAGTAAAATCTGCTAACGTGTACCGCTCGGGAATTTACATAACAAAGACATCTTTCCAAGGTAATGCATATTTTAGATATGGTTGAAGCGATGGGTGTTCCTTCCTTACCAAACGAAGTACCGATTTTATTCCCAAGTGAGCTGATGATTAATTGCCAAACTGGCTACTTCTCAAAACTAAACGCGTGGAGACTATCAACTCCTCTTAATTTAGTGAGTTACACTTCGTAGCTCTATCAAACCATAGAGATGTCACAGTCAGAATACGGCAGCTCAACTGTAGGCATGCTGGACGCTGGACCGATGAAATTATTTAAGGGTTTAGAACTGGTTTTCTACTTTTCAATAAAATTGGTTAAACCCTTTAGGGATGCTTGTACTCTTCGCATTCATGTCACTTAGGTCGAGGAAACAAACTTCACGAGGCAAAGGAAAATATGGCGAAAGTGGAAATCGACTACTGGAAGCTGGATAATTTAAACAAAGTCTGATGGCAAACAGCGGCTGACTACAAGCACTACTGTAAGTCGCCATGCTGCATTATCGCCTTATCTAAGCTTTGGCAGTATATGTCGAGGTCTGACGGACGTGTCTAAAGTCAAAACCTGCCTAAAGTCGGTAACCTGAATCTTTCCGGAGCTGAAAGTGCACTCAAGGACACGCGAGACATCCGCAACGGAAATTACGAAGAGCGTGCCTTAATGGTACATTTCGTAACCGTTCCTCAGAACGCAAGACAGCACCCTTACCAACATACTGCCGGAGGCTGATGATAATAATGAAGATGAGTATTAATCCACCGGTGAACTGATAGTTCAGCTGATCGATGAAGTCGACGCCTTCGCCGCCGTAGGGAGTGCGGAAGAGTCGGCCGAGTTTGAAAACAAATCCGCCGTCGAGAAGTCCTCCGGCCCCACGGGCCATTCCTCCTCAGCAGCGGCAGCAGCAGCACTCCTCGCTTGCAGTGTAGTTCCTTGTAGAGCGGTTTGACGAGTCCTCTGATGGCGTAGGTTTAGCTAACAACGCGTCACCTTTACTGCAAGCGTGTCGTATCAGCATCGTGATGGCGCGTGATAATCCATGGTTTAGCTGTGTGCCCAAATGTGGTAATTTTATTGTCCACGTGAACACGGGCTAATGGTTTTCTGCCTGCCTTCGATCCAGCAGTGAGAGGAGAAAAGGGGGAGAATTTCCTGGTTGCCGGGTGGTGGTAGTGGTGCTGGCGACGGGTGTGGGAATGCCAGCAATGGTTCTTGCTCATTCAATTAAACCAGAGCTGCTGCTGCTGCTGATGCGTTAAAAATCTGTTGAGTTACTTGATTGGCCCCCGACGTCTGGTGCACGCACGTGCGCACGCTCCCTATGGGGCTTTTGAGAACGAATGAGGGAGCGAATCGCACACACGACCTTGAGAATTAGCTTCTCTTCGTACACACACGCAGTGGTTGCAATAACCAATCAGAATTGCGCGAAGCCAGCAAACGACCAATCGCGATGAGGCTAGGTGGTCGTGCGCGCTCCTGGTATCAGTGACCAAGTGGCAGTTGAAGTTATTTTTAGCTAACACTGCTGCATAGCAAGAGTATGCTTTGGTGCGTCGCCCAAAAGCCTCGCAGGCCAGCTCAACCGCGCAGACTGTCAGATGGCTAGGGCTGGGCCGTATTCACGCTCTCAAAGTGAAAGCACATTGGCCAGTTTTTGTTCGGGCACGCTCTGGTGGCTTTTGACCAAAACTGGTCCGGTCTCGCCAATCGCGACGCCCAAGGTCATGGCTCACTCACCCCCTTATTGACTGACAGGTCTCAACCCACCTGTCAATTTCGCTTGTCAGCGTAAACGCAGAGTAAAAAGTGAAAGGAAACGTAAAATTGGACACCGGGTGCCGCAGCGGTGACAAAAAAGTTAGCCCGTCGAAGTGAGGTTCAATCTGATAACTGTGCCTTGAATTCAGGTATTCGTTTTTCAGCAAATCCAGATTCCTGGTCGCAGTCCCGACCGTAATGTGCGTCACACAAGTAAATGTGAAAACTTGCCGGTAAGAATTACGACTTTGAAAGGAATTGCTGAAGCTTACGAACACTTAGGAAGTGGGCCAACTTAGCCACAGGAGATCCAATAATTACTACTATTTTTGAAAGTAAGTAGTATATCTTGTTTTCGGCAAGCTAACAGTGTGGATCGTGGGAATAAAGAGCATTTTTCGAGTGACTTGAATCCAAAGAAGCCCAGAAACGTGGTTCTAGTTAATTTAAATTAAGCCTTGTCGCGTACTTTACATCACCTGGACATGAAATATTGTTTTAAAGAACACATTAATCAGAGTGTTGGGAAACGGTAATTATGCACCTAGATTAGGAGGAAATGAATCGTGTTTTTATGAGGTAAAGTTGTCATCTTTGCCGTCATTATTTAACAGGGAATGTCAGATACCGTAAAAAAGCAGCGCAATGCAATGCTTCTTGTTTTCCTTAGTGAAAACTGCGCGACCAATCACAAACTGCTCAAGATGAGTTCTCCCAGGCATTTGATTGGCTAAGGTTTTCGGAAAGAAATTGTATTATGGCCTGTCATGAGCGAAACAAATTATTACTTAAGAAGAAGTATTATTAGATAATTGCAGGAAAATTCAGTATGAGGAAATGGTTGACTGTGACATTTGCGATAATTAAAATATATAATTTGTTGACATTCACGAATAAAGCTGTCCCTGAAAAACTATTTCTGATGTCGCCAATTACAGCAACACGTTGGTTTCACCAACTAATACATTCCCAGTTATTAACACTGACAAACTGCAACATATAAGCCTAAGCTTATCAAATATTTATTCGCTTTGCCTGCTTCCTAATTGGGTTTCCTTGTAGTAGCGTAACCAGATGTATATTAATTTTAACAAATGTTTTACTGATTTAGTATTAGTAGACTGTTTATTACTTTTAAATGGTCTTGATTATAGGTCTGCCTATGCAGTAAGGATTTTCGACCCCAATATCCTAGTTACAAGGCGCAGTTACGTTTAGTATAGAATAATAATAACAACGATAGTAGAATTTGATATAAAGAAGTGAAAAATTGACAAACCTGTCAAATCAACGATTCGAGGAAGACCGTGTGAGTTGCGATGAAATCCAGTCGAGATAGCACCTAAAATCGTATTTTCTGGAAATGCCATGCTATCGCAGCAAGACGTCTTTCAACACAACCCGACCGACATGCACTTGAATGCGACTCATTCATGATGGCAGGCTGGGCAATATGCAGTGGCCAGGTAGCGTGCAGTACGCGCGTATGTGATCGTGTGTGTGGGGGGGTTTCGATATCTAATTATTAAGAAATTCTGGTACGTACCACCTCGGTCTTATTAGATGCCTCCCGTGGGACTGAAGCGAACGAGAAAGAAAGGCACATCATAGTTTAGTCACTTGCAGGTACGTGCAAATAAATGCAAAAACTGGAAAAATGCTGACCTTGCTTACCTCCCACAGCACTAAAGAAACGGATGCCTATCAAGAAATTGAATTTAAAGCTTAATGCTCTACTTTTGTGAATTCAGTAGGCATTTTATCATAATTACAAATAAAAAGAAAAATTACCTTGACTCGCGGACAACGAATTGAAATACGGCACTTAAAAAAGAATGCTGCTAATGTCAGATTTACTTATGTACGGTTTGGTGAAAATAGCTGAAGTTTTGTGGCAAGTTTCCGGTGTCGAGTGCGGCTATGAACTGTTAATCAATAAAATAGCCTAAGTGGGGTTGTCGAAGGCGCCTTGTGAGGTGGTGCGTCATTCAGAAAATTATATTGTTGGAGACTTTTGCCGATCAACATCATGATTACGATTTGCTACATTAAGCAGCTAGTCTAGTGTGGATCAACACTGACGTAAAGGGAACGCTCCATGTTTATTGCAAATAAGTGTATTTTATGGCATCCACCAAGTTTCCAACACTCTTGAAATCTTGATTTGTAGAAGTGACAATTCTCTTCCGATGCAAAGTAGCCATGGAGGGAGTTTCGCTCGCTCATTTGCACAGATAACTTCCCATTTTGATTGCCGTGTCAAGGTCAGAACGTGCCTCTGTTATTGATTTAAACAAACCAAACGCTGCATTTAAAAGTTGCGCTGAACTCTATAGCACTTTTGTTTTGCTCTGTGTGCAGAGTGCGGCGGATGACATGTCAACTGCCTATTGCAAACGTTAGTATAATTGACCGCTGTAAAGGGAGACCAAATCGTTAGAGGCACTCAATTCTGCAATTAGTAATATCAAGAAGTGTCTAAGTATGGAACGTAGATTTAGTTTTGTCGATTGCCAAAAAGGCAGACTGGAGAATGACGAGTGGAGAGGTTTAAGATGGGCACCATAACCGCTAAAGCACTGGACAAATGGCATAGCATGTTGTAGTGAATTTTGTTGATTCGCATCCAATAACACGGTCGTTCCAGCCTCACACACACGCGTCCCCTTGTTCACGGCGTGTTCATCCGTCACTGGGGCCGCCTGCTCACTCACCCTTCTGCATGCACCACCACCACCACCACCACCCGCATTACTCATGTGACCGTTCAGACGTCTGTATTTCTACTAGTCCACTCAACACAACTTCGTTGAGCTGTCTGGTAAACGGTTGTGCCTCGTCCCCTCCGGTCTCCCTCACCCTTGCGGGTACTCAGGGGGGCGTAGTCGGGCCAGACTCAATGCAGGGGCCCCGGCGTGGTTCAAGGCCAAATGCTGGGGCCTACAACACAAATTGGCCAGCAGTTCCTGTCTGGGGTGCTTCTATGTACTTAAAACAAGGATCGTGTGAAGATTAGCTATGCAATTTAGGTATAATCACCACTGAAATAAGCCCGGCCGCTTTCTTTCAAATCTAGAATTTTGGTGATTAAAAAATTTACCAACTCTACTCTAGTCGGCAGCCATGAGCCAGTAAATGCGATTTCATTGATAAGCGCAAAATGCTATTTTTGGTGTGCGAATGTCAAAAACACACTGGACATCACAAACACCACACTGACGTATTTTTAACACTTAATGTTAATGTTACCGCCTGCATGCACACTTGCAACGCTTGCGGAATGTCAGAAGGGCAATTCAAAGGCGAATCAATGCAACCACATCGTGTCCTTTAACGAGAATCAGCCACTTGGGCACCTGACAGACTCGAAACTGGTTTACTTGAGAATGGACGTTTGGGCACACAACTGCTCATTCGGTCTGATCGCCACCGCCTTCTTGCCTAGCGTCTGTCTGATTGGCTACTCGGGGATGCGTTTTGACCACTTCAGTACTAAGAACCACGTTGAACATACGGTTGCATGCGATCCAAAGCCTCTAGCGGATTTAAAGGACCAAAAATTAAATCAGTGTCTTCTGGTGGCTTCATCCCACTTCCTACCAGTCGATTGATTGGCAGACGTTAATGGTGTTAGCAACTGCACGAGGTGTGCAGCTTGACAGGGCTGACCTTCCCAGTGACCCCAAACGCAATGCTCTTATCACTCACCGAGATCTACCACTTCACCTCGTCATCACTTAGTAACTCAACCCAAGTACCGACCATTTCTGTTTGCGGTGAATTTGCCCGTCCAAATTCGCGTGTTTTGAGTGCATTTATGAACGCTAACCGAGTTAATCCACCTGTCTAGCCGCTTTTAGGAGCTGAATTGAGGCAATGGATTTAGAAAAATATGGTGAATTTTTAGCTAAATGTGAAAAACCACATGCCTCGGAAACCTTTCAAGCAAACAGAAGAACAACCGAACTCCATGTACGAGGAGTCACTCTCTGAGGAATGCAAAACGTTCGCTGATCTCAAAGACGCCGACTTTGTTGATGCCCCTTCTCTTTTAGAAGCATTACAATCCGTAGGCAATACCTTTCGATTGTAATCAGTGCAACACAATGCGATTTTGACGTG